CGTCGGTAAAATGTAATAAACTGCTAACTCCATTATTCCTAATTTTACAGGAGAGCAAAAAAATGGTACAAAAAATATGTAGACATGTAGGAAGTATTTTCATGCTTAATTATATGGTAAAGTTAATATGATAAAGAGATAAGAATTTTATTTGCTGGGAAACAATATAACTCAATATTTCGTGTTACATCATTTTTTTCAGACACAGTAGGGAGATAGCAGATATTCGTCTTGCAGAAATAAAAAATAAAAATATACTTCTGGAGATAGCAACCTTTATTATTTGAAATTTTAAAAATGGAATAGAATATTACCCAAACAGATTTAGAAATAATCAATTAAATTTAAAAAATATATGATATTCATAACCATATATTTATAATATCGTCGGTCTAGAAGCAAAACATACAAGTCCAAAAACAAATAAATTTTTAATACATTTTTAAAGATCTGAAGTAGCAACATTTTGGACTTAATGAATATGAAAATAATTTAAAAATTAAACTTATAATTCTGAGAAGATATGGTAGAATCCTTCCATGCTTATCCTAATTTTTATACAACAGTATTAGACCGAGCTTGGAAAACAGTGCGTGATTTTATTAAATTTTTATTACTTTTCTCCTTATTTTTTTAATTTTTATAAAAATTATGTATCACTTACGTGGAAAAACGTGGAAAAATATAAAACTGATTAGGTATTATGGAAATTCTTGTACAAGTAAGTAAGGGTTATTTAAACTATTTATAGCACGCCGATGAATTGCTCGTATATAGAGAATTTCATTTTTCCCTTTACCCTTTACGGATACCCTGTATTTACAGAACGGATCGACGCAGGGACGGACTGGCCATATTATATTGTATAACTATTAGGGGGGCACCAGCCTTCGCGGGCCCCCTTTATAGTTCATTATTCATTCTTAACAATATTTGCATTGCATTATGGCATTTGCATTGCATTGGTTTACCTTGCATTAGGGTAGATCCCTAATTTCTATACAGGGTGAGTCTTAAATAAGTGTAAATATTTTCAGGGCTGGTAAATCTCGATAAAAGAAACATAATATTTTCTCTTTACCGTTTTTTCAAATAAATCTAAAACAACCCAGTTATTTCACTTTTATAATTTTGAGAATTATTGGATTTTCTTTCTTGTAAATTTAATCTACTACCTATGTTGCCATATTACAAACAAAGTATGTTTTTAAACTAAAAATTTAAAAAAATTCCAATTTTTTTAAAAATAATTCCGAATTTTCAAAAAAAAATCGCGCAAAAAACCTCATAATCATGTTACTTGAGTCGAAATATACTACCCCTAAAAATATTTGCATTTATTTAAGACTCACCCTGTATATACAGGGAAAAATTGACCAAATGTAAGGCGAAAAAATACGCAAAAAATCCACACGGGCCCCTTCTTACATTGCCACCCGGGCCCCTTTAGTCTAGTGCGACCCTGGATCGAAGTACTGTCCTAAAGAAAGATACGAGTAAGAATCCGTGTGTTTGCTTTAGCGTGATCGTAACGGAAATTATGGACTTAGCAGCATTTCGGTGGCTATTTCAGATCACTGGGAGTTAGCAGATATAATCGAGTTAAAATTGCAAATTTTCTTTAATGGGAAAAAATGTATTTGCTTCCCCTACTTATAGAGTATTTTTTTCTCTTTCTAATGGTATAAAAAAACTTATTAACGTAAAAAATGGAGCTAGCAGGTTATCACGTTTCACTGACGATATTAGATTTATTTGAAAGTAGAAACTTTTAGGATGAAAATCAGATGAAATTACCACGTTGGCGACAAGTGCTCAACACTGATGAATGTCCAGACATGTTAAAATGGAAGAACATTCCTAAAGTAATATGCAACAAGAAGTTCCTAGTATTGGAGAACAGAATACTGATGTCTATGGCGCTGCATGAGCGGTTACCTTGCTCTGTCGAATATTTACCACAAAAGTACTTTAATTTGTACCATAATAAATAATGTTGTCTAATATTAGGTCATTTTTATAGGTATTTTCCAGCAGGAAACGTATTCTTAATGAACACTAACTTCAAAGGCATCAAGATCATAAATAAATCGTAAGTATATACTATATAAGAGAATAAAAACGACGTCGCACTAAGCGTAGAAATTACGTTTCAGTTTAACATTTATCTCTAAGTTCTGTATATTCTTGTTAAGGTGCCATTACACGGCGTGTGGCTTGCCGATCCACGCGCCTGGCGCGCGAATCGCCGAGCCAGGACGCGCCAATGCGTATTTTCGCACTTGCGATCTCACGGCCGACCGAGAGACAGAGTACAAAAAATACATTATATAACTTTTTAACATGACTATCGGTTTAAATTGGGTTTAAATTCATACAATCAAATAATTTATTCCGCAACTTTATTTTCAGTGCAGTTTATTAAGATAACAAGATGGAAAGAAAAATAATCTGGTTAAATTAAATTAAATAAGATAATAATATTTTTTTAACTAGGGTTATTTATGTTCAAAAGTTAAATAAAAAATTTTTGTCTTATTTATGAAAATATAATTTTAGAGTATATCATATTTTCAGAAAGCCCATAACAAGGCAAATAATATAAAAAATAATATACTGGGTGTCTCATTTAAAAAATAGAAGTCAGATTTCGAAAATGAGAACCATCAGCGAAACTGGTTAACATCACTGGATTCTACGTAAAAAACTAAACGAGACTGAGTTTTCACCTTTTCGATAAGTTATAAGATAACCGATATACGATGAAATGGAAAAATACAACATTTTAAAATTCGTCCTGTATTTTAGGAACTAAAAAGACTAGAACAACTCTTCTTCTTTTTTAATTCTTTAATTAATTAATTTTTTAATTCGTTCATGGTGCAATAATTATTGGTGCTCAACTTTTGATGTATTCTCAGGCAGCCGTCCTGTATTTCATTTCTATTTTTATGTGCATTATTTCTGGGGTTCCAAGTTATTTGTTCTTTTTCATATAGGGGTTAAAACTCTGATATAGTCTCGTTCGACCAAAACATGTTGTCAGGAAATATGTAAAATATCAATTATTCTTCGAATCTCCGTTTTTCGCTATATATGGTAGGTTCATAATCAAATGTATCACATACCTACTGTGTTCAAAGTAAACAATTTTTTATAGTACCGGTTAATACCTGGCCGGCTATAAATCAGTTCATTTGTGATTGAACTAATCGCACTGAGGGGTAAATTGGTACCTATAATATATTGTTATAATCATCGGCAATTACCACCACTCAAATTACCGCCATTAAATTAGTATAGCTATACAAATTTTAAATAGCATAATTGCACAAAACTTTATGAATTAATATTTCTATAGCTGCTGTAAAATTTAGAAGTATAAATTAAGTATCAAATACAATTATTACACATACATAAATCACCTCAGCAAAATGTATATAGTGCTTCTCACCCTTCTAGTAACAGTCAACATTTTTGATATGTTCTACACCCTTCGGGGTATTTGTATGTAACTTATATTATTATACTTAGAACTAATAAACTATATCTATCTATAGGAGTATATCATTTATACAGCATTTAGAATAAATAATAATTTTAAACAATAACATGGTAGATTATATTGGTATACCCTGTATTTATCAGTAATATCAATCACACGGAGCGCGGCGCGAAATTTTTTGTTGCAGGCTCGGCGATCCACGCGCCGTGTAACGGCACCTTTACATCTGAAATACTTTTTTTGCATGAAAACTTTTTATATCATTTTATTGTAGTGTTGATGTTTAACAACGTGGTTTTTATCCAAATTTACGCAACGATAAATAATTTTTATATCCAAATTCGATGTTTATTGACTTAAATTTCTGTTTCAGAATATAATTTTCTGCGTCAGTACAATAAATATTAATTAATTATTTAAGTAATGTACCACTATATGTATATCTATAATATTCCTGTTTAGGATTAATTTATTAAGAAGTGTTGGAATAATGGATAAAATTGAAGCCAACTGGATTAAAAATCCACTTTCTGGTACAACAAAGAGCGTCTACCAAAGAACAAGTGAAATAACTTTTTCCCACATTCAAGGCCTGATTTCCATATATTGCTACTTTATTCTTGGAGTCCTTTTGATACTACTTTTGGAAATAATCCACTCCAAGTGTTTTGAGGAAAACGATAAAAAGAAAAAAAGTGTCAAAAAATCATCGAAGGAAAATATCACTACAGTTAGTTTCAATGGGCATCTTTGGTATATAAAATAAAAATCTAGCAATATCCAGACAAAATTACACAATATTAGGCTTTAAATATTTGTTCGTGTTTCTCTAGATATCACCCAATAGATAAATAGTTATTTTTTATACAAGACGATAAAATGGTATATAATGTATATAAATGGTGCGATAATGCAATTTTATCGTCGTGTATAAAACAGTATTTGTTCCATAGCGAGTTACGTTTTAAAAAATATTCAGAAATTATTATTTCAAGGAATTTATTACGAGTAGAAAAAGTATTGTGCTGGGTTGGCGTTGGTTTCTATGTAATTTGACAAATAAATAAAGCTGTCTCTTTAGTTGTCAGTTTTGAGTCAATATTTTTTAATTCTCTTTCGTGTCGATTGCTAATTGAATTGGAGCCAGAAATGGCTCAAAACGAAATAGGTAAATTACCAACAGATATTCAGGCTGAGGCGACAAACGCCATATCCAAACTACTTCCATTTAAATCCCGAATAACTTATGAAAAGGAGTACAAACATTTTCAAAAATGGAAGGAATTAAAAAACGTGCGAGAAGAAATAATGTTTTAACCTATCCTCGCTGTTAAAGTATCATTTAATCTACGCTTGCGTTTAAAGTACTATTTTATCTACTATTTTTGATAGATATAAGGCAATTTTAACAGTTGCTGTGGAAAAATGTATATTATATTCAAAAAATATATATGACTTAAATATTTACTTAAATTGTTTTTTTTTAATAACTTACCAGAAAATAGTTCTAGAAATTTTTCTACACCGTAGTTGTTTGGAAATCGATACGATGGATCCTTGAGGGCTTCTGGCGTGTGGACCTTCACTCTTTTCACCATGAAAGTGATGTTGTCTTTCCTTCCATCTTGATTAAAATCTGAAAAAAATAAAACATAATGTAGTAACCTTTGTTAACGGACACCCTTTTAAAACAAACACTTATGTTAACAGCCAGTTTGAAAGTTCCTGGAATCACCCTTAAAAAAGAATGCCGAAAGCCGAGCTCAAATTTTTTAATCTTCTTCCAAGTAAATTCCTTATAATTTGTATAAAATATACTCTGTGTTGGAAATTTGAAGTTCTTATGAATAGAACTTTATATGAGTTACCTAGCTTTATTGAATAGGAATCTTAGTACATATTACAATCACATTATTCAGCTTTGCTTTTACTCAATTAGCTGGTAGCCTTCTGATAGTGTGTGTGTACAGGGTGTTCCACTAAGAATAGCTCTCGGCTGTATTTCGGAAAGTATATATTTTTTCAGAATGAACATATTTATGACTAAAGAGGTCATGCGAAATAGCTCGAAATTATATTCAAGAACTACCTCTAGAGGGCGCAACTGCTAAGGTAAATAAGATAATGAAATGTTTACCAAATTTTAGGCAGATACCGGTTACTATAAATAATGGCGTTAAAATCTGATCAAAATCAAATTTTGGATCGTTTAAATCTCTTTGTTCTATCTGCTAGAATGAAGTGGCGAGGGAAAGTTAAATCTGTTTTAATTTAAATATTAATAACTCAAAAATCGTATAAACAATAATAATATACAGGGTGGTCCGAACTGTACTCCGGAAACTTCGGCAGCATATTCTGCAGATAAAAATAAGTAAAAAAGTTCGTATAAATGTATGTCCTAAAATGCGTAGTTTCGGAGATACAGGATGTAGAAGTTTCATTTTTATTTCGATTTTTTCCAAATAATTTCTGCAATAACCTCAATATTTGGATGAAAATTGGTGTCTGGGAGTTTTTTGACATGAGAAATTTGATTTTGATGTCAATATGACTCCTACTTGTAGAGGGCGCCACCTACATATGTTTTAACTGGTCTGAAGAATAATAACTTCTCTTTCGTACCTGTATAAAACTACTGAGTAAAAAAACATACATTTACGGTGTTTTTTACGTAAAAAAGGTCTCTTGGTAAAAATCGCTACGAGTAATGTTTTCGAGATATTTGGAATCGAAATTATCAATACCTGCCATCAATAACATAAACATGTTGACTAAATAGTTATTAAACTAAGATCATAAATTTGAAATGTTTTTGTGCCAAAAGTGCAACAGAAACTGTTTTATCATCATTTTTTGCAGAAAAATTTATGATTAATTTAAAAAAAAATATAAATTTCTCGAATTTATTATTTCAATGAAATTACTATATCTCCTCAACGTGTTTATTTTTCGTCAATAATGACAGGTATTGACGATTTCCATTCTAAATATCTTAAGAACGGTTGCTTGTAGCGATTTTTACAAAGAGGTACCTATTTTTTACGTAAAAAGTCACAGAGATGTATATTTTCCCTCAGTAGTTTTATACAGCTACGGACAAGAAGTTATTACGCTTTAAAACAGTTAAAAAACATGTAGGTGGTACCCTCTACCAGTAGGAGTCATATTGACTACAAAATCAAATTTCTCATATCAAAAAACTCACCAACAGACACCAATTTTCATCCAAATATGACGTTACTTCGGAAATTATTTGGAAAAAATCGTAATAAAAATGAAATTTCTACACCCTGTATCTCTGAAACTAAGCATTTTAGAACATACATTTATACGAACTTTTTTACTTATTTTTATCTGCAGAGTATGCTGCCGAAGTTTCCGGAATACAGTTCGGAGCACCCTGTATATTTAATAGTAGACGCCAGGGGACACTGTCTTACAATTTAACAAACACTGCACATTTTTCGAAAAAATTAGCTGTGAGTAAAGAGGAATCAGAGGTTAAAAAGTCAATCTTTATTCAAACAAGCAATCTTTTTCAAACCGAAAATATTAACAAAAATATAATAAAGGCAAAAAAATTAGCCCTGAGCTACCTTATTTTTTATAACACAGTATCAGTAGCCCTCTTGATTATGACCATTCTAATTAAACATTAAATAGAAACGATTAATTCATTCTAATATATCGATAATATTAGAATCATACAGGAACTATATTGGAACCAAACAGCGGAGATAAGAGTTAACAAAAATTTATCCACAGACACCTTCAATATGTGTCAAGGAGTCCGCCAGGGCTGTATACTATCACCAATACTTTTTAATATATACGTCGAAAAAATATTTCAAATGGCCCTGGAAGGAGAAAGTGGAGGAATTAAGATTAACGGAGTTCCAATTAACAATATAAGATATGCAGATGATACGGCAATACTAGCACCAACTTTAGAGGATCTCCAGCAAATAATAAATAAGATAGGGGACATGGGAAATCGTTTCGGTCTTAAAATCAACACTGCCAAGACCAAACTTATGGTAACAGGACGCCAGCCTACAATCAACACCGCATTGACCGTGGATGGAAATATTATAGAGCGAGTTCCACGATTTAAATATCTGAGTGCCATGATCAATGAACGATGGGACTGCGATGAGGAAGTTAAACTTAGAACGAATTATGCAAAGTCAACATTTTTTAAACTTAAAAATTTCCTATTAGCACGCAGTCTCCCGCTAACACTTAGACTACGGGTAGTAAAATGCTACATATGGCCCATCTTACTATACGGCGCAGAAACCTGGTCTCTCAAGGCTAGAACCCTGAACCGCATCGAGGCTTTCGAAATGTGGACTCTCCGGAGACTCTGACGTGGGCCATGGACCGCACATGCCACCAACGAAGAAGTTTTAAGAACTGCAGGCTATGAACGAGAAATGCTTAATATAGTTAAAGAAAGGAAAGTCTCATACCTCGGCCATATCCTTAGAGGAAACAAATATTACAATCCTAAGCTGATTCTACAAGGAAAAATAGAGGGACGGCGAGGCCCAGGAAGAATACAACATTCCTGGCTAAGAAACATACGGGATTGGTGTAAGATCAGCGACGCAGCCACCATATTTCGAAGAGCCGAAAATAGCACTCTACACATTGTATGAAGAGTACAGACAATAGCCAACGTGCGGCTAAGCACAAGGCACAGGAAGAAGAAGAATCGATAATATACCAGAATACCATAATTAATTTTTTACAGTTATTAAATTACAGATTTTAATATACTCTAAAAGGTTCAAAGCTTCGTTTGGCCCTAAAATTTTCCCAAAAATGATTTATTAAACCAAATAATAGACCGAGAATAGAAGTGAATAGAAAATTCAATAAAGCCCAACAAATAGAAAGGGCTCCTTTTCAATAATCGCTTTATTTACCTTGGCGTCCTTTCTGCTCTGTGGGTGACTGTCCCTAACTGTCCTCCTTTCCTTATCCCGCAGGATAGGGAGGAATCGGTGCCTGCGAAAGGGAAATTGTGTCGGAAAAGGAATCGAGAGGTAAATACTCCATGGAAATGGAGATGGAAAGTTTCCTCCTCCCAAGGAGAAAGAGAAATCAAATATTTGTTTTTTTTGTTTCTCTTTTTTGACTTTTGATTTGTACTGGAATTTTTTAGTAATATTTGATTTGATTGAGAGTCCTATAACTTTTTATAATAAATTATGTTAAAGAACAAAAAGACAAAATTGAGTATCCAAACTTGCCATTTGCACTAAAACCTGTTCCACATGTTATAGGTATATTACTAGGACTTCAATATGGTTTTACGATGTTCTGTTGTTTTTTGTGTTTGTGGAATAGTTTTGCAACAAAGGAAAATGTTGTAAAAAAATGACCCCCAAGAACATCTTTTAAGCCAGGTACAAGTACGTAAAATATGTACCACTTGTTGATCAAAGCCTGCTACTTCCACCACTCCATATTAAGTTGGGATTGATAAAAAATTTTGTAATGGCCATGGACATTGAAAGTGAAGGATTTAAATATTTGAAAAGAGTTTTCCCACAAAGTAAAGGAATTCTCCCAATTTTGGTCTGCGGTTATTTCCCCTATCGGCCACCTGGGGTCGCGTCCGATTGGAGTTTGGAGTTCTCCACACGGATTTTTTCAAAAACGGACTACGGAAACACGGAATATCTAAAAAAACTGCGACTCTGATTTTGATGTTATTACAAATTTTGTTGCAAATATTATTCCTAATCTTAAATTGAAAACCGCGTTTCGCTAGCTACTGTAATTTTGAAGTTACAATTTTTTAAAATGTTTAACCCCCTCCCATACGCCCTTACCAACCCCCACCCCCACCAAAAACTAATAGCCAGATCCGAGGGTGCCACAGTATTTTTGTGCCAAATTTGGTTAAATTCGGTTTGGCGGTTTTTGAGTTATCGTGTTACAGACGGACAGACGGACAGACAGACAGTCAGACACTATAAAAATATTTTGAATTTATGTAGGTCATTTATGACCCAAATAAACTCATTTTAGGTGAAATTAAAAAAAAATTGCCGATCTTAATAGCCTACCATACCGGTTGGTATGGTCGGCTAAAAATGTGATTTTTTCTTATTTATTGTTTATCTCCATGTAACAAAAAAACTTTCCGTGTTTTGCTTGTTATTTTTAATTTTAATAGTACAGAATCTGATATAATCAGCCAATGTCACCAATGTTAGAAATGAAAAGTTTGAATTTGTCGACCTAGCCTTGAGGGTCTTTGCTAGGTTATTTTTGATATCCTTCCAGATTTAAATAATTTGTATAAAAACAATTATTATGGAAAACACTAGAAACCGAGCTAGAAATAATGTAAAAATGCTTCTTTCTTAATCTTTCTATTTTGTGAATCAACTATTTTAAACACGAGTTATAATATTTCTTAGAAACCCACATTTTCAACTTCCACAAACAATAAATCCTGATAAAAACCGCTCATTCCTGTTAGCGGAACATCTCTCATATTTTCTTATCCGACAAATTTGGCCCGAAAAAGTAAAACCGAAGAAACTCGACACCGGAAAAACCGAATAAACAAATGAATAAAGAAACCCAAAGAGACTCCACAAAAGACGACCGAGG